TCTCACTATGCATCTCTGGCTGCTCTGGAACCCACTACATAGACCAGGCTGTCCTCAAACTCACAGAGATCTGCCTGCCTCTGCCTCCTGAGTGCTGAGATCAAAGGTGTGTGCCACTATGCCCTGTTATTTTAACTTCTTTATGTATACAAACATTTTTCCTACATGCAAGTATGTGTCCCATATGCATGCCTGGTGCCTGGGAAGTATGAAGAGGTCTTTGGATCCCCTGGAACTGGAACTATAGATGATGGTGGGGAATCAAATTCTGGACTCTGCAAGAGGTCTTAACCACTGAGCCATCTCTCCAGCTTCCAAGAAAGAGATTAAAATGGAAGTCATTCAGGGAAATAGCACAACAGTAGCAATAGTATACTACTCAGCAATACAAACCCAAACAAACAAAAATAGCTAACACACATTACAGTGGAGACAAACTCTGAAAACATTTGCTAAAAGAACCTAGATGAAAAAGTCTGCAAATCCACTTATCCATAGACTTGTCCAGAATATGTAAATTTGTGAAACAAAAGCAGATCAGGCATTGCTTAAGGTTTGAGGCAAGAATAAAGATTAACTACAGACAGGAATGAAGAAACTTTGAGGAGGGACAGATGTGTCTCAAATGGCTAGTGGCAGTGATTCTACACCTCTATACATTAATTTTTCAAACATCATTAAATTGAGTGGTGAGTGGCTTGTGAGGAAGGGAGCTTGCAGCAAACCTGGTGACCTGAATTTGATCCCTGAAACTCATGGGATGGAAGGAGATCCAACTCTCACAAGTTGTCCTCTGACTTTACAAACACAAAGCAAATAAATAAATATAAAAGTTTCAAACCATTAAATTGAGCTTGGCTCTGTTGGCACATGCCTTAAATCCTCATGTACTCCACGGCCCCTACTATCCTCAGGAACATGATTTCTATATGGTCAACAGTTCTCTCAGTTGCCTTACAAGGTAAAAAGTCCTAGTAGACAAATGAAGAACCGGGGAAATGCTGATCTAGATTCTGACTTTACGTAAAAATTGAATAGTTCATAGTGGATTTGTTTCTACCATTGTCAATTTTGTCAATTTTTAAATAATATGTTAAGGTTCTACTTATGGGCCGGGGAGATGGCTCATCAGGAAAAGGTATTTGCCGTCCAGCCCGAGAACCTTAGTTTCATCCCTGTACCCCATACCAAGGTGGAAAAAGAACCTCCTCCTGGAAGTTGACCTTTGATCTCCACACACAGACACACATACACGCACAAGTGAATAAAAATGGAAAATGGCCAGGAGGTGATGGCACACACCTTTAATCCCAGCATTCGGGAGACACAGGCAGAAGGATCTCTGTGAGTTGAAGGCCAGCCTGGCCTACAGAGTGAGTTCCAGAACAGCCAGGGCTACACAGAGAAACCCAGTCTTGAAAAATCAAAACCAAAACCAAAAGAACAACAACAACAAAAAAGTGGTTTTAAAAAAGATTTCTTATGGAGGAGGAGCTTATGAGGCACCAACCCACCCTGAAGAACTATGGGTAGGTAGATAATGGTTGCTGAGCAGGAAAGAAATTACGCAGCACACCTCTGCTCTTGTAAGCAACTGTAATTTAATTCAGTGGGCCACAAATGAGAAAAAAAAAGGCTTCATGGGGACTACAAGGAGGATGGGAGAGGGCTAAGGTAAGGGTAAAAATGCTCAAAATTCATTGTATACATGCGTGAAATTATCAAAAAATCTACTGTCTTGATTATTAGACTTTTTAAATACCCTGCTACAGGGCCAAGTGCCTCACTCCCTTCTCTTAAGTCCTGAACTGACCTGCCCAGGCCCTCTCTGCCTTTCTGAACCTTCCCCAGAGCAAAGAGTACAGAGGAAAGCTGCCTATTTCCCTCTTGATTCCAGAGACCCCTTGAGATCTAGACCACCTGCGTGTCCAGAGGGGTTTCCCAACCCAGTCAGGCCCCGAGCCACCGGGAGAAAGGAGAGATGTACCTCAAGTCTTGTATCACACTACTCCCCTCCAGCTCGATTCTTCTTTTTTGCTTGTTTGTTTACTTTTTGAGATAGGGTTTCTCTCTGTGTAGCTTTGGCTGTCCTGGAACTCACAGAGATCTGCCTGCCTCCGCCTCTGCCTCCTGCGTGCTGGGATTAAAGGCATGCGCCACCACACCAGGCCTCCAGCGCATTTCCGATCTCTCCATACCTCCCTGGTTTTTAATCTCCACAACGCATCCCCTCCCCCGTTTTTTCACAGGTAAAGCACTTGTGCGGCTGTGCTTTAGTGGAGTAACTGAGTCCTTTGTCTATCCTCTGTCCAATGTGGTCAGACTTCAAAGTCCAGTGCTCATTTACTGAGCAAGACGCACAACCAGCACTTCACAAATGTCTGTCCTTTAGGACGCCTCCCAACTTCTGGGGTTGACCGCCTCTCCGGTGAGCTCCGCACAGAAACCCCACCCTCTCCAGTCCCCCTCCATCCCCCACACCCCCACTCTCTGTGTCTGCGATAGATTGTAAAACTGGAAGTGACAGCTGTGCGCAGAAAATGGAGCGCTACTCATTTGCCCTCCGGGGTTTCGGGGTTTCTTCAGAGTAACCGGTCACCTCCAACCCACAAGGTGGCTGCAATGGGCGACCTAGAAGTCGGGCTAGGTAAGATGTCCCTGCCCACTCCCCTCCAGGACAAGTAGTCCTGTAGTCCGTGAAGATGTACCTCTCAGATCTGAGCTGTGGGACTGTCCAGGCGCCAGTGTCCTGCAGCACTGGCGAGCCGGACACCCGAGGCCTCCCCGCATCCTCAGGAGGAAGACCGCTTCTGCTGGGGGCAAGGGGCTGCAAGGGTTTCGTGTGCCGGACCACAGGCCCTAGCGGTGCAAGCCCCCTCCACACCAGAACACCTCAGGCCCTCCAAACCCACTTTAAATAAGGCAGGACTTGGGCGGTCGCTCACCGCACTAAGCAGAGCCCAGTCTTCCGAAACCATCAGATGACATCGGAAGGGCCCAAGTACCAACACCGGGCCACCCAACAGGCAAAACCGAGTCCCGCGTTGGTCGTGGAGAACGCGGCAAAAAAGAAAAGAAAACAAAACCTGCGTGTTGCGAGGCTCCCCCAGGGAAGCACTGCTTGCCTCGCCAAAGCCGCTAATTTCGGGGTGGACCGTGGCTATCCCTGGGCGTTGGCCCCCTCTTCTCTTTCAGTGACCCGCTGTGCGGCAGACTGCCACGCTCCCCAGGATCAGACTCCTCCTTCCGCAGGTTGCCCGGCTCCGTTCCCTTCTTTCCCACCGTTGCCTCAGGCCGTGACTCCAGGTCCCCTCAGTTTGAGTTAAGTTTCTCTGGGTCCTTCAGCTCACTGCTTGTGGCCACCGAACTATAAGCACTACTGTCTCCCGGATGGGGATGCGCACTTTAGGATCTGGGCCCGCAGGGCAGACTCCAGGAACCTACAAATAACTCTCAAGACCTAAAACAGGTTCTTCTACCTGGGGATACCTGAGCCCATTCCCCAAATGCAGGGTTTGGGTCTCTCTAGGAAGTCAGTGAACCTGGGTTCCCTGCCCTTGAGCTAGGCAGGAACCAGGACCTGTAGCCTTGCAAAGAGCCCATTGGCAGGTTATTTAAGGACTCCAGGCCTAACTTTTCCTTCTACCAGGTCAAAACAAGAGTTGTCAGGAAACAACAAAGAGCCTATAGCACTGGGGAGGGAGACAGTGGGTCCCTGGCATCTTCCTTGCACTCCCAGCTTCTGGTGACAATCCCAGGTTACTAAGGGCACCCCTCACCGACTTCTGGGAGGCTGTCATCTTATTCCCCAATGTCCATACCTAGCTCTAATTCCTGGAAGTCCAGCCCTTTCTACCGTCCACTCCCACCACAGGCCTCCCCTGCGAACCTCCACACAAGGCAAATAGCTCAGGCTTGAATTCACTTGCTTGAAAACAGCTATGGCCAAATCCTGTGGGAGGTGTGCCTGCCCTCAGGCACTACAGGCTCCCATTGCCTTTGAATTCCTTTGGGAACCCACCCCAAATCTAAGGAGCTTGCCCAAGGCCTGGGTCTCTGGGTTTCTGTCCAATTTGCCTCTTTCTCACCTTTCCTCAGCATGGTCAGAACTTTGTTTTCAGGCCAGAAACCCCACTCAAGGGGTGTCTCACACCCCTGCCTTTTATTATTGCAAAAACACACACAGATATGGAGGCAAACAAAACAAAACAAAACAAAACCACCAAGGAGAGAGCCTGACATCCTGAGAATGCCTTAAATACCAATGACAATTTCCAGGACATGTGTTCGGTACACGGAGAACCCCAAACAGAATATATATCCTAGCATACACAGATAAAAGTCACAAACACACTCACAACAACAAACATGCACACCAAGAAACACTGCTGCCTAGAATATAAGGTCTGCGCAGAAGCCTGAGCCCAGAGATGCAGACACCGAAGAGACAGCAGGCCTGACCTGGAGCCCGGAGCCCGCCATAGTTCCTCTAAATGCGTTAGGAGGCTTCAGAGCAAAGAAAATCGCCTGCCCTGGGAAATCAGGAGGAGGGAAGGCCCCTTTACCCCCCTAGGTTCTGCTGGGAAGAGAGGAACCAAAAGCATTTGCCAGGCTCCAAAGTGTTAAAGCTCAATAAAATGGAAATCATTGAACAAAATCTGTGGGAACAGCACTCCCATTCCCATTTCTTAGGAAACAGGGAAGTGGTTTAACTCGTTCTGCAAATCAACTCCAGATCCACAAGAACACCCTCCCTTCTAGAAAGGAGAGGCAGTGCAATTGTAGCTTAGGGAGTGCGGCCCACGATGAAAGACAAACTTGTGAGCAAAACCATCCAGCTAGCCCCACTGCCCTTCTCCTGGGCAGAAAAGGATGTTCCATGGCCACCGAGGCTGGCAATGCACAGCAAACAACCGCCAGGGAGAAGAAATTGGGTGTCTGCGCCCAGGGCCTGCGCTATCATGCCCGACTCTGCCCTGAAGTTGCACACCATTCCTTACCTTTCTTGATCACGGATTGGTCCAGGAGGCTCATTCCCGGGTCATCTATCGCCTGCAAATAGAAGAGGATGACAGTGAGGGGTGCACCGTACGGACCCAGTCGGCTGTAGCTTCCCATGCCGGGCTGCCCTTTAGTCCGCGTCTGCTCCGCTCTAAGCTTACCACCGGTTGCCTGAGGCGGCTACCAGGAGGACGGGGGTGATTAGGAATCGCTTGGGCTCGGGACCATCTGCGCCCAAGCTGCAGTCCTGCCTGGGTGATCTCCTTGCCTTAGATAGACAGCTACTGAGCCTCTCTAAACCCCAGCCTAGGCTGCTCCGGAGGACTGGGGCTGGGCATGGATACCCACCGTGGCTCAATCCCACAATGGGGCGAGAAAGAAGTTATTCCAAGAGGGTTGCTGCCATCCAGGCACCTCGCACCTACTCAGTTTCAAGACCTTTGGGCCAGACAGCGTCTAACCAAGGACTTCCTTTCAAGGGAAAGTTGCGGGCTAGGAGAAGAGTCGGGCTGCCACTGTTGTCATTCTTTGATTCAAGCCAGGATACTAAATTGCTGCTCATCCCCGCCCATCCCGGTCCTTTCCGGCCCCTTCTGGTCTTACCTGCAGTTCCTCCAGGCCGGGGGGCGCCGCTAGCCCCGGGAGACCAAGGGGAGCATCTGCCAGGCCGTGCGCGCCGTCGGCCAGGCTGTGCAGGAGCCGGGGCACCGCGGCAGCGTAGTCCCGGCGTGGGTCGAGGCCCAGAGCGCGGGCGGGTGGCGCCAGCAAGCCGGGCGGCTCATCGTGGGCGCGGGTGGCAGCCCGGGGCGCGGCCCAAGCGGTCTGCGGGGGCTGTGACTGTGCCAGTGGCGCTAGGCCGCCATAGGGGTCCGCGGCCAAGTGCGGAAAAGCGGCGGTGGCGTCGGGGCCCTGGCCATAGGCCAGCGGCGGCTGCGGATAGGGCGGCGGGAAGTAGGGAGGCTGAAAGTCCGCGGCGGCAGAGGCGGCGGGCGTGTGGCACAGTGGCGGTGCGGGTCCGTAGGCCGCCTGGGGCAGGGACGACAGGCGGGTCCCGCCAGCCGCTGTGCCCAGCCCGTCGGGGCGCTCCTGCAGAAGGGGAAGCGTGTGTTAGGCGAGCCATTAAAATCTGAAAAGACACCAGCCCGTGAGGTGCTCAGCTCTCGATGGTCCTGCTGCTGTCCACCGGCGAATGCCCTGTGGGCGCAGGAGTCCTAGGCTGGAGATCTCGGGCTCCTGCCACTACTTTCTCGGGCTGGCAGAGGCCCTGTGCCATCCTTCCCTCGCGATTTCGTTAGCGCAGGGGCAGGAGGTTCGGAAGGTCCAGAATTCAGGCTCCTCGATTCCCCCCCACGCCCCGCCCTGTGTGCCCAGGACCCGAGACTACTCACCATGGCGGAGTAAGTGTGCACCAGCATGGGGCGGGTAGTGTGGGGCGTGAGGCGTGGCGGCGACACAGCCCTCGTCCGACGGCAGTGCAAAAACTGGAGCCGTGAACCCTCACAGCCCGCAGGGATCACTGTCTGGCAGCTGGGTGTAACCCCGCCGGGAGCCCAGCGGGCGTGGGGTCCTCAATGGTGGGCGTCAGCGGGTGGGTCCATGGAGGTGGAACGACGGGAGCTGATCGCACTTGAAAACGTCGGTCAGCGGGTGCCCAGCGCCCGCCCTTCTCCCTCTGAGCTCAGCCCGCTCCATGCACTCTAGTTATAGTGGCGGGGGCGCGCTGGGCCTCTGGGGGCGCGCATTAAAGGGACAAGCTATGGCCTATCTCATCCTTTTCCCCTGCGGTCCGCCAAAAGGGAGGCGTGGCTCTGGTGGGAACCAGTGGGGTGAGGAGTGAATGAATTTGAGCCCTTCTGATGAAGGGCTTGCAGCTGAGATCAAATGGAAGGTTGGAATGCAACTCAGGGGCCTATGTTCCCTAGGTCTGTGCAATTTTTATTTACAATTGCTTACTACATTTGTTTATTTAGTGGGGGGGGGCGTGTGCCATGGTGCACTTGTGGAGCTCAGAGGACAACTTGGAGGAGTCAGTTCTTTTCTTCCACCCGTGGGTCTAAAGGTTCGAACTCAAGTCCTGAGGCTTGGTGGCCAGTGCCTGAACCCAACAGACTATCTCAACACCCCTTTCCAAATCCCTTTAAGTGAATGCATAAATAAATGCACGTGTTTGACTTTGACTTTAAGCAAAGCATTCCTTACTTCTGGCGTCAGCTTTCCTCTCCTGTTAAACAGCAGTAGTCTTTTCTGCAGCCACCCAATGGCGAACGTAAAGCTTGGGTGTAGGAGGTTATGTGAGAGTCTCTCCTTCATGGCTTTGGATCAAAAGCACTCTGGAGATGCCTGCTTCTTGACTTCCTGAGATGGTAACCCTCAATGCCAAGCCAGGATTCTTGGATACTGGAAACATGACCTAGTCAGAAAGAGTTTGTGTCTGGCATGAGCCCCACCTATCTAAGAAGGAGCCAAAAATGTTTCTGAAGCTGTAGGAGCCGGGCCGTCTGTGAATCTGTGACACAGAAATGGTGGAGTGCCTGGCTGATACTGGATGGAAGGGTGAGTTAGTGTGTTACCATGGCAGGCCCTGTCTGTCTGTCAAGTATGTCCTAATCCCTATCACCAATCCCTTTTCTCTTCTCCCCAAATTCAGCCCTTCTGTCCTGAGAAGTGGAGATGGAGATTAAAGAAAGGCAAGTGGGAGAAATGCTAAGGACACTGAGAATTGAAAAAGCAGAAGGGAGAGTTCTTTTTCAGTGTTGAAAAATGGGGGTTAGTAGAAACAATCATGCACACTCAACACACAGCGTGAGTACTGAGTTACCTAACACACCAAGTCCCTTGGCACCCTCATTTTCAGGTGAGGGGTAAGGCACAGAGAGGCGAGATGACTTACTGGTCTGAGGTCAAACAGCTAGCTCGGTGGCGATGCTGAGGTGGCCCTTCTCCAGGCCCCCTCCGTGCTCAGGATTGCTATTCCTTTCTGTCTTAGACTCAGGGGTTACAGTTTAGTCACGTTCTCGAGTGACTGTGTAATTCTGGGCAGGTCTGGCTTCTTCTTCAAGCTGCAACAAAAGGGAGGAGGGGGGAGTGGAGAGGAGCCATTGTTTTCTTAGGCTCCTTTCTAGAAAAGGAACAGATGAGAAGGTAACACCATTGAGGGGTTAGATCATTGACCTGCCTGATGTATCCCAGAATGCACGTGGCTAGTATGGAGCTCAGACGGGTTTCTTTTGACCTGGCAGGGGGAGGAGGGGGGAGTTGTAGCTAGCAACCAAAGATTCATCTTAAGAGCTTCTCAGAGGCCAGAGCCAGAAGCTGGAGAGCAGACAGGGGCAGATGGGGCAGCTGTGCAGTCTTCCTGCCCATGACAGATCTAATGTGAGCTTGCACATTCAGTCTGAGGATTCAGTAGGGACAGGGTTACTCCTTTGGTCTGAGGATTTGGTAGAAGTAAGGGGGTCTCTCTTGTGGCAGGCTCCTTTGTGTCTCTGATCTTTCAGCATTTACCCTGATATCTGACTCCGGGTTTTTATTAGTAGTACCTATTTGAACTCGTGCTAATATATAATAACTCATACGTGTTATTCACATCTGTGAGTCTGTGGCAACTTCCCTCATCCTCTACTCTCTACTTCACCCACAGGACATTGAAATTAGTCCCATTAGATAGATGTCCCTGCATAGCTCACAAGTTGGTGGACTTCTGTGGGAAAAGCCAAGAAGCCATGATGAGGATGAGCCTTGGACCCAGCTTGGGGAATCCCTCTGCTCTTCCAACAGGCTTGGGATGGGCGGCTGTCTCTGGCTTCCCTGGATTCCCCTCCTCTTTCTCATCTCCGCCTTCTCTTAACCCTGACCATTTTCCCTTTCATCTTCACCTCCTCTCATCATTCACAATCTCTCTCTCTCTTTCCTTTCTTCCTTTCTCTTTCCTCCCTCCCTCCCTCCCTCCCTCCCTCCCTCCCTCCCTCCCTCCCTTCTGTTCTTTCTTTTGATTTCAAGACAGGGTTTCTGTGTATCCCTGGCTGTCCTGGAACTCACTGTAGACCAGGCTGGCCTCAAACTCAGGGATCTTTCTGCCTCTGTCTCCCAAGTGCTGGGATTAAAGACATGCACCACCATAGCCCAGCAATCATTCCTACTCTCAATGTTGGTTGTCCATGTTCAGAGCAACTTTTATCTCTTCCTGTCTACATTATATTTAAATGTGTGCATGTGTGTGTGAGCACGTGCGCGTGCACGCGCGCACATGTGCATATGTAGAGGTCAGAAGACAGCTATAAGGATTTGGTTTCTCTTTTTATCGTATTGGTTCTGGGAACTGAACTTACGTCATCAGGCTTGGTACCAAGTGCCTTTACCTGCTGAGCCATCCCTTCAGCCCCCTATCCACAGTCTTCAGGAGAAAGTTTATTCCCCTCCCAAGTCTAATGACCACTTGTTTCCCTGTTACACCCAAATGTGTCCTCCTCAGTCTGTCAATCTGATTAAAAATCCAAAACCTTACATACAGGTTTGATCCCTTAGTACAGGGGTTCTCAACCTGTGGGTCTTGATGGGGGGGCATAGAACCTTTTCACAGGGGCCTCCTAACCCTAACCCTGCCTGCCTAACCCTAACCCTGACCCTAACCCTGCCTGCCTGCCTATAACCTAACTCTAACCCTAACCTGCCTGCCTATAACCTAACCCTCACCCTAACTCTGCCTGCCTGCCTAACCCTAACCCTAACTCTGCCTGCCTGCCTGCCTAACCCTAACCCTAACCCAAACCCTAAACCTAACCCAGACATAGGTACTGAGAGAACACCCATACACATAAAACAATAAATGAATCTTTTTTAAAAAGAGATCTAAAGAAGTGGACAGTGTATAGAGTACTTTTCTTAGTGCATGTCAGGCAGCCAACGAATGCCTATTAAATAAGTAAGTGAATGGATAATTACACCTTCCCCAGTTTATTAAGGGACTCTTTGGAAGCCCCTGCCCCACCCAGGACATGACCCAGGGTAGCTACACAAAGAAGCTCATGTGACAAGTGATTCCGCTCTCTATGACCTGCTTCTGCTTCTTTGGAGATCAGTAGAACCATCAAAACTAGGGTTTCAGATTGGGTTCCTTCTGCTTCAGGGACAAGAATTCTTCCCTTTGGAAAGGTGACCATATCTTACAGCCTATTCTTTGAGATACATGCACTTGGATGGAGGCTTGGGTTGTGCACAGAGATACATATTCAGATACCCCTGGGGAAATGGAGGAACCCAACAGGCACAGATACATTCATAAGACATGTATGTACACAGGATATTAATTGGCACATAGTATGCATGCTCAAATATACATGGACTCTCATTTGACATACTTGATTTATTCTTCTTCCAAGGCTCACCTTTCCTTCCTACACCCTCTGCCTGTCTGTCTGCCTGTCTGTCTGTCTGTGTTTAGACAGGGTTTCACTGTGTATCCCTGGCTGTCTTGGAACTCACAGAGATCTGCCTGTCTCTGCTTCTTGAATGATGCAGTTAAAAGCATGCACCACTACTGCCTGGCTTCTCTTTTTTAAAAAAGAAAACATTTTGGCCTCCGTTGATGACAGAGTCATGTTGCTCCTCCTAACGCGTCAGTCTGGGTGTGTTTGCTGGGAAATGAAATCTGGCACAAGATGCTGAGGTGCCATCTGCTGGTTGGAGCTTTCCACTGCGGTTCAGAGCTCCCTCTCCCATCTCAGCGGAAGCACCAGGAGCGAGCCTGGCCTCCTGCTTAGTCTGGAGCCCAGAACCCTCTCACCCTTGCCTCCTAGAGGACAGAACTCAGTCTTCCTTGTTTCAAGCTTTCCTGGATTTGACACGCAGGAGAGGAATGCGCGGCAAGGACCATGGGCAGTTATCACTTGCTGTGTAGCCCTTCCCTTCTCATTTCCCCAATCTCTCACACCCATGATTCTAAAGAACCTCTAATCGACAGCTCTCAAATCTGCTAGCCCCTCAGACTTCTTTTCATGCTCTAGGCAAGGGGAGGAAACTGCTTCTTGGATGTTCTGTGAGCAACACAAACCATTTATTAAACAGGTTCCTTCACAAGCCTGTTCCTCTCCCAGTGTTTCCCACAATAGAGTGGTCCCATGATTCTCAATGGTCAGAGTCAAGAATCTTTGGCTTCCTGTTCTTTGTTTGGCTTCGCTCACGATTAATTTCTCAGTCCTACTTCCTAATTACCACCGATGCCATTCTTGTTCTCATTACCACTGGCTTAGTTCAGATTACCTCCCGTCCAAGCTCCCCCGCCTCAGTAGATCCTCATCTTCGCTCCCTGCCCCATCCACTCACTTTCTCTGCACTTGCTATATCGCCCAAGTTGGCTCCCAAATCTCCTTCCTGCTTCAGCCTCCAGAGTGCTGGGGCCAGAGTCATGTGTCATACC